CCCTCCCTCCCGGCCGTCCCTCCGCCCGGCCTCCCTCCTCCTCCCTCCTCCGGCCTCAGTCCCCGCCTCCTTCCCCTCCTCCCCGGCCTGCCTCGCGTTGGGCGCTCCTCGAGCCAGCACGTGTGCACCTCTACCTTCCTTCGCCGCCGTCTACACAGTTCGCCCCCTCCGTGAAGCCTTCCCGGCCGCCTCCAGCTCCCGCGACCCGGTTCCCCCGGGCGTGTCTGCGTCCACCGAGCACATAGTAGGCGCTCAGCGGGCCCTCACCAAGCTCGTGGGGAATGAATCAGCCTGTCTAGCGCCGAGCTGCTGTGCCGGCTTTGCTTCACGGGGCGTTTGCTGGGCATGACCTTCTGCTCGGCGCGTCTCCGCCTTTCCGCCCTGAAACTAGACTCCTGCGGGACCAGGATGTCCCCTTCCCTTCCCTTTCGTAGCCACGATCCCACTCCCCCACTTCAGCGCCTGGGGATGGAGGCCCCTTTGCCTCCTGCTCTGCTCCAGTTATTTTTCTCTCTTTACTCAGGCCGCAGGCACTCCCTCTCCCGGCCCTCCTTCTCCCTTTTTCTCCTGCCGTGCCCTTCGTGGTAGACTTGCTGCAGGAAAAGAAGCTTCCCCTGACCTCCTTCCCTCCCTTCTCCCTGCAAGGGAGCTGCTGCTTCCCAACCCGCACGGAGCTGAGTGCCCTGCCCCTGGAGGCCCGCCAGGACAATGGGGGGTGTTGCAGGGGCCCAGGAATCGGATAAGAGCCTCTGATTGGAACAAGGTTCCCTCTTCCTTGCTGTTTCCTACCCTCAGACTGTAGTTCGCTCTTCTTGGGACAAGAAAGCAGGAAAAGGACCTCAGCATCTCCTTCATGTTGGTTTAATATTTATTGAAGACTCACAGTGAGTTAGGAGAATATCCAGGAAAAACACAGTTAGGCACTTTGCCTAGGAAACACTTTTGGGTGTTGGCTGCAAGCCAGACTCAAAACATTAAAATACAATCTGCTGTATTATCAGGCCATTGTCCTCCCATCCTTTCCAAGTCTGGTTTTCCCGACAAAAAGAGCTTCAGAGCCAGGTAGCTTTATCTAATTCCAAGCTTTGTATGGTCTCCACCATAGGCCTGATGCTCTTCAAGTGCTAATTAATAAAGAACAAACAGCAACAAACCGGAATTGATTCTAGGGCTCACTCATTCATTCTCCTTAGGTGTTTTATTAAATCCTCTGCAACATAACCAAGGAACATTAAGGATCAGGTTGCAGCGCTCCTGGCAGAGACGTGCAGCATCAGGAGACCTCAGGGTTCCTATCTCCGAGGAATGAGAATGAGGTTATAGAATTCAGTAAATGACTTCATTAATCCCTCCGGTTTTCATGCTGAACCTTGGTTGGCAATTTGGCCTAGAGGGCCCTGTGTTTGCAAAATGACCTTCTTTAATGACTGTAGCCAGGCCAACTTCCACACCTGAGTCCCAAATTCCTCTTTTTCACAGATAGGAGAGTCCAGTCGTTCTAGGACCCGGGCTGTAATTCCCTTTACTGGCCGTGTCACCTTGGGCAACTTAATGCAACCTCTCTGTGCCTCAATTTCCATTAACTTAGGGCTATTGGTTATTCTCCAATTCCTAGGATGACGCACTTGTAAATGAGTTGAATTATGTGGAACCCTTTGCAGTATCGGGTGCAGAGAAAGTGCTCAATGAACCCTACCCATTATGGATACCCAGTTCTGCAGCTGGGTGTACTGGAGCACAAGCAGGCCTACACCCTCGAGCTTAGTGCCCTCCCCCACATCTGCATAAACAATCCTCCCCATCCTTCAGATCCCACGTGACATTGCTGTCTCCCCCAACCCCCAGCCCCAGCTCCCAGAGCTTTCTCCCTCCTCTGAACTTCTATAGCAGTTACTGCCTGCACTACTCATTTTATCCTGAATCACATACTGCCTCCCATTGTTCTCTCATTGTTACTCCTGTCTCCCACACTCAGATCTTTGACAGCAGGGGATGGGTCTTAATCTTTTCTAATCCCCTCCCCCTACAGCACCTAGCGGAGTGGCAAATACAGGAGGCACGAGACAGACACTAGGAGATTTTTGTCCCCCTGGGTAAAAGGCAAGCCATAATTGAACCAAAATGGTGGGTCAAATTTTAGAAACTCGAAAAGACTCAGACAAAGGTCCCGATCGTTTCCTTGCTGGGACACAGGCCAGAGGCTTCCTGTCTCCAGTCACAAGAGCAAATGAACTTTAAAGTGGAGCCTTGCAGGGCACGGTGAAATGGCAACCTGGAATCCAGGCTCCCTTCAGGGAGATCATGGGGGAAAATCAGCTCTCCCGGCTTCAGGGTACTGAAGGTGACCGTGGACCTTCATGGTGGTGAAGGCAAGCAGAACTTGTCACCCCACCCCTTTGGCATAAGGAGTAGTTTAGGCTGATTATATTTTGAAAACAGCAGACACCGGAAAATCTCTGAAAACTGAGAAGTTACTCTTTTGTAAGAGACATTTGCAAGAGGAATCTCTTTTTGCCTTGGGTCCTTGACCTGCTGCCTTGACTTGCTGTCCTCATATTTGGCCGAAAGGTGCAAATCCCACCCTATTTCACAAGAATATGACTGGGACAAAGAAGATTATACACATGAGGCTCTTTGTAATCTTGCTGATATAGAATCCAAAAGATGATTATCGTCCTTAAATCTTAAGTAATGGAAAGGTCATGCTTTCACGAGGGAAGACACTTAGAAGGACACGTGTCACGTCCCTACTAAGAAAAGAAATAAAAACTTCAGTGACAGCACACCCTACCCCCCCCAAAAAAAATGGTCTTTGGTTTGAGGTAGACTAACTTTGACCAGAAACTGACATTATTAAACCTTTTATTTATAATCTAGAAAGCCCGAGCCAAGTCAAAGAAAAAGTTCAAGACGAAAATTTGGTCCTCAAGCTTCCAAATGTAAACTTGCCCTTAATTCCATTCATTGACCATCAGTGGAAAAAATGTTTTCTTGGCTTATGGTCCCTAAGGTACCACTCTGTCATCAGAAATTCAGTTTGGCATTATTTGGCTATTTAAGTCATGAAGCAGTCAGGCGGTTGTCTTTTGTCCAGGGGTTCCAAGAAAGGTCTGTGGTTAAATGTCACGAGCTCAGGCAGAGCCAAAAGCTTGCTGTGGCATATTGGGCAAAGGAGGGCACTCTTCAGGACTTGGGCTGCTTCCTCCGTCCTTGACACAGCCTCCGCAAGCCTGGCTGGGCAGTCCGGTATTATAGTTGAAAGCACAGGGGACTGGCAGCCAGGACACCTGGGATGGATTTGACTAGCTTGGGCCAGTCACTCCCTTTCTTTGGGTCTTGGCTCTCTCTTTTGGAATCTGAAAGGATTTCAGTCACTCCCTCTAAATTCCCTTCTGGCTTCAATATTCCCTGAAAATAATGGGGGCACGTTAGTGTGGGAGAACTGGCCTTACAGATTCGGGCAGCAGTTTGGAATCCCTGATACCCCTTTTCTTGTCTATACCATGATGAGGTAATGAAGGAATTGCTTCATTGAATAGAGACATACATTCATTCATTGCCAGCTAAGTTAGTGCATGGAAATGGCAGACCCGGCATCTTCCTGAGGGAGGCTCATTTCTCCTGGCTGTTTTTCCTCATATCCTTTGTTACTGGTTTTTTTTTTTTTTTTAATAAATATGTATTAAGGGACACTGTGTGCCAGGTAAGATGTGCAAACAGGTATTTTATAGCTAAGATTTCACAGAAAACATCGTTCGAGCGTTAGAATGCATAAAGGCACATTGCTTTTTTTGGCAGAAGTTGAGTGTTGCAAGAAATATTTTAAGACCCGATGTCAAAATTAACATGAAAGTATCAACTTTGTTTTATGTGTCAATATTTGAATAACAAAGTAAACGAACAAACTGGCCCTGAAATCAGATAGACATGGACTCAATTCCTTGTCAACAATGAGCTTTTGCATCCCCAGGCAAGTGACTTAACCTCTCAGAGCCTTTTTTTCCCTCCTATGTAATGTGTTATTTGCAGTATTTACCTTGCAGGGTGGTGGTGAGGATCAATGTGGTAATATATATGGAAAGTAGCTAGCACCCTGCCTGGCAAGTAAGGGACTCCATAACTGTTTGCTTTAGGGATTTTTCCCCCCTTTTCAATTTCAAAAAAATGCATGCTTTAATCCTAAAGCAGAAATCAAATCTACCCTGAGTGGGTCAAGTGGACCAATTTTCTGTTGAATGCCCTTTCGCTGCTGTAGCCTCAGGTAGAACTGACATCCTGTCCCACCACAACATAGC